CTCTTCCAGGTTATATTGTATCCAAATAATTTCAAGAAAGACCTAATTTCACATCCCAGAATTCTCGAACAATATTTCAAACACAAAACCTAATCCAGGGGGGCATGTGAAACTTACCAAACGTCACAATATCGGTGTCACCCAGTCTGTCCCTTGGCACATTGTTTCTAATATATGCAGCAGCCAGGTGCAAGTAGAAATCGAAAGCCATAACTTTACCCTGTTATCACAGAGTTATTGTACTCTTCTGTCATACAGTACAGTCAGAAACCCTATTCATTCTCTCTTGTCTGCATGCAACAGTTTTCTCACTGCTGGGAAAGATCATTAAATGTACAGTTTCTGGGTGAATACCTATGTATCTTTGAGCAGCTCTGTTATACAGTTATTTGGGCCCCAATTCAGCAAGGCACTTAACACATGCTTGGTTTTAAGAGCGTTCGTAAGTCCCATTGAAATTAATGTGCTCAACAAAGTGCCCAAGGCTGTACTTTAGTGCAAGTGTACCCTGAGTCAAACTTTAGCCAGTCTGGCTGCAGCTGGTTACACTGGGTTGTTCCAGGGGGCCCACGACTGTGAGAGCAGGAAAAGTTGCTTATAGGATTTAGCACTTCATTAAAAGACATGTTCATTTAGGGCTAAATTATTAGCACAGCCATGCAGGGAATGGGCGGGAGTAAGGATTTCACCGGCCCTTGCACAGCAATGTAAGGTTTAACTGGATCTCAGTTTCAGGTACCACCTGGGTCTACCTCCCAAATGCTTTCTTCACTGAACAAATTGGGAAGGCATGGAGGTGCAGAGGACTATGGAACCATGAGTTCTCTCCTCCCTAGCTGGCGGCAGTGCTGGCTGGACTAGCTTTCAACAGGCGGCTTTCCACGGGCCTACTCGCATCTTAATTTGGGGGCACAACGTTTTTCTTGCTTTTTAAAATCTGCTCCAATGGAATTGTTTAAAAGATTCATATTTGCTGTTATTAATTTGTATGACAGTTGCACCGAGGGGCTGCAGTCACGTATCCAAGCTCCACAGCCACATAACAAAGACCATCCTACGCCTCCGATTCAGCAGGTAAGGACTCACCGAGCATCCGTGAGTTTTACGCACATGCTTAAAGTGAAACAGAAAAGCCAATTTTTAGTTCCTATCCTGAGTTAAAGAAAATACGACAATTCTAAAAATACCGGAAAAATCTAATGTGTCTTTGAGGAACTAAGCATCACGTAAAAATGTAACTATATATTGTAGAAATGTGCATCTGTCTGTCACTCCATTTGGTCAAGAACTCCTCCTAAACGAAAAGAGCCAGACCACCAAATTCGGCAGGCAGCTTCTTCTTATTCTAACTTAAAGCACAGCACCTGATTGCAGCTCTAAGGGGTGCCACATGGCTAGGCGTGCGGCGCCCCTTACAGCTGCCATCAGGCGCTCCCCATAGGTTGGCGCCCTGGGCAGCTGCCTGGCTAACCCCTCCCTCGCAATCTGGCCCTGCTCGTGGATATTGAAAAGGCACCATGCTGGGTTTCTGAAATGACAAGGCCAAAGGCAAGGGAAAGAAAAGTTACTTGAAGATGCTATACGGGAGATGTGGACAATGGAGTCTTTGAGTGGGGGGGTTATTGGCGGTAAAAGCTGAGAGCTAAGAATCAGGAGATTTCAGGTTGTGCTTCCTTCTCACCCAATTCAGTTACTGTGTGGCCTTGGGCTAGTCATTTGACTAACTGGCTATCAGCGTCCTCCTATGTCACAAGGGGCTAGTAGTCTTGGCCCTACCTCACAGGTGTCATGTAAGAATGAACGAATGTCGATAAAGAGTATTTCAGGACACCTGGAGGAAAGGATCCATATAAACACCAGGCGGATTATTTTAACAGCCTTTAACAGTACAGGAGACTCATTCTCATTTACATTAAGGTCCCTTTGGACTTCCAGAGTGCTGTACCAGGACGTTAGTGTAAATGAGAATCAGGTCCTGTAACTCTACAATTGCACTTGAGATGTCCAGCTGGTGATGCTGGGGGAGGAGAGGGTAAGGGATTTGGGGCTAAAGGGGGGAGGGGAAGGTGCTGGGAGAAGGCTTGAAAGGAGGGGTGGGCGTGAGGAAGGCGGGGATGGAGCAAGGCATGTGTGAGGGCACAGGGGCATGAGGGGAATGGGGGCAGAGGGTGGTGAGGGGGTGGGCATCAGGGAAAAAGAGGGCAAAGGGTGCAGGGGCAGTGAGGGAAGGGGGAGGCACCAGGAGGGTGCAGGTGCCAGGGGATTCTGGGGATGAAGCAGAAGGGCAGACACCCGCAGGGGAAGGACCAGCACCAGGAGGAGAGAGGCAGGGTAGGTGTGTAGAGGGAGGTGTTAGGAGAGGGCACGAGGAGGGGGTAGCTCACATGATCAGTGTGGGGCTACTGGAGGAGTGGGCACGGGGGGGCCTTTTTTTCTGTTTTTTCTCCAAAGGGGGGGGGGCCCTGCGATATTGTGCTGCCCTGGGCCCCACAAAACTCTCATCCCCGCCTGGAACAAGAGGATTCACATCACTTCTGGAATAAAATCCTAGCTAATTTAACTGTGGATGTTCACATCAGCCACCTGTGTGTCTAGCCCTTCGATGAATCTACAGGTGAATCTCCGGTCTAGCAACACCCGTGGTCCAGCAGGATTGAGTTAGCCGGATGTCCACTTGTCATGGGTGTGGCCGGTTTCCCCCAATCCCATAATGTTTGGCACTGGTCAGGTACTGAGGCAACTTGTTCTGAGGTCTTGGAAAAGAGGGCTTCTAAATGATGTTGCTGGTGTCAATGCCCAGCCCGAGACAAGGAGCCATGGAGATGGACAGCGCTTGGTTGTGTATCAGGCTATGCGCAATTGCCTCTCCAGGATACAGCACAGCACAGATGGAATCTGGTCACAGAGCTGGGCTAGGATGCCTCAGGCCCCCTTGAGATGGGGGAGACTGGGCCCCTAAACTCCAGCCCCTTCCCCTAGGCTCTCCTCCATGCTCTCAGACAGCCAGCAACAAACTCACTAACTTCCAGCCCTGCCCCCCAGCCAGGGCAGCATTCCACCTTCCTTTGTTCCTCTCCATGGGGGGTGTCTGGCCACTGGTTTGCATAGTGACTCATCCTGTTTTGCTGGGTCGTGGTACCCACGGCAGCCAGTGGGGGTTACCCCAGAGCCAGCAGCATAGAAACCAGCCAGGTACCCCCACTACGTCACACAAGCCCAGCCTAATTCCCCCTCCCTTGCCTCAAACTCACGCTGTTGTGATAAAGTGAAACTCCAAGAAGTCCCACAGTCGTGCCGATTTTTCTGTCTGATGCAGGTTAATTTGGTACGTACGAGGAAGTCCTGAAGAACGAACCCCCTGCACATTAACCAGCCAGATGGCCTCAATCATTTCTCAGCTTTCAATTCCTCCTTGATTATTCTTTGTTGCATGTTATTCTAGCCCTGCATTTATGGAGGTGTGGGTTGGCCTCTAGCAAGTCAGCTGGAAACAGAAACAGAAAATCCATCACCTCCTTTCCTGTAGCTCTTTGTATGCACAGTGCAAGACAATTGGGGAGCTCACTGAAAGGCCGTATAGGCGGACAGAAAAAGACAATCTTGATGTCAGCAAGGCTGAGAGATTCTGGGCTCGATCTCCCGCTGCCGCTGAGGATCAGGCAGTGAATGAATGAAGGGGCTGCAAAGTAGTTTTAAGCTCCCTCTGTGCTCTGTTGATTGTGAACTAGCAGTGCACTGAGCCAGCTCTCAGCATGATTTGCAGCAGCTTCCCGATGGCTGGATGCTGCCCTGAATGCCCTTACGGTAGCGAGGGCTCAGAGTGGCCAAAAGAAGCCTTAGCCGTGCTTCCTACGGGGGCTGTGGGCAGATTCTTCTGAACCTCTGTGCCAAATGTTCTTCTCTGCTAAAAATATTCGGAATATTTTTCATCTGTAAAACTAAACACAGAAGGTATTTCCCAGATTAGCATCATTATTGAGATCTGTGTAAGGCTACGCCCATATTCTGAACTATTCAAACGTTGGCTGTGTCGGCTGATAGGTTCCAGTTTATTTAATCAGTGTGCTTGATCAAAGGTATTGTTGTATCACCTAATGAGTTTGGGGCGTCTCATTCTAGACCCTAGGAGACACTTTGGCATTTGCCAAGCTACTGCCCAGTATTGCCTGCGTTCCAGGACTGGTTACCAACAGTTCTTCAGGAAAGGCTACAGGACCAGTCAGTGGGGGTACCCCAGTCCCCCCAGAAATACGCTGAGTGCTGTGTGCAATCCACTCCCTTCCCAGCAGGGGCATTGGAAATCTGTTGGAACCACTGCTGAGTTCCATGGACTGTTCCTCCAGGTTCGCCCCTGACTGCCAGTGCAGAGACAGAGCCAAGGCAGCTCGCACTCCCCCTGGGATGCCAGGTCCAGGCTAGAGCAGTCCTCGAGGCTGCCCTAAATTGCAGCATGTTTCAGTGGCCACGATGAGCTTTTGCACAAAGCCAAAATAACTGGGAGTAACACGGAGTGTGGCCTTAGTGGAGGAACCTCTGTGCAGCTCCTTCTCCAAACCCCGGTCCAAAAGGTTGTGACCACTAGATCCACGGACCCAGTAGCTACACCTCTGTTCCAGTCCAGCCCCGACTTGCCTACTGTTCCCCAATGTACAAGGTTATGTAGAACCAGACAACCCTCAGTCCCTTCACTGCAGAAACACAATGGTTACATTGCACGGGGTGTGGGGGGGCTAGCTGGGTCCCTGTGCTAAGCAATCAAGTCCAGCCATAACAAATAAACACCTTTATTTATTGCTGGGCCACAGGCTCTTCTGTCACTGCCGTCTCCTGTTGTATTTTCATGTACAGGATGATAGTTTTGGGATTTGGTCCTTGTGGGAAGTTTGGAAGAGATGCAGAAGCATAACTGCATTTTTGTAATATTATAAAATCAAGCTTTTTGGGCCACAGGCTTCTTGCCCAGGCTTATTACACTAGGCAGCACATTAAGGTGTGTCAGTCTCTAAGCTAACAGAACAACATGCTTGTGTTACCTGAGTTAATTCCACAACATTTGGAACCTGCTCGCAGAGGAGCAGGGTTACAAGGAGACTGAAGCAGCAGCTCATTAGGAGAAACAATCTCAGGCAACAGAAATGGACTGGAAACTTCACTCTGTGCAGTATTTTTTGCGGGACATATTTATAATCTTGGCGCTTTATTTCCACACATGTGGGACAGGTAGGAGGTTCTGAGTCTTTATTATTTACTGTGTAGAACTGCAAAGGGACACAGTACATGCGCGCTAAAGTTTGGAAGAGGGTTTTTTAACAAGGTTGGGAATATGAAGTGCAGGCGGCGGAGTGGGCTGTGATTTTTCACGTTGTCTCCAAATGTTTATTTTCCCATAAATGTGCATACAGTATAGAGCTATTGAATCAAGGTGCACAGTAGCCTGGGCGCTTTTCTAGTAAACATTTAGTATAGAAGGGAATTGGAAGAGGAAGAGAGAAAAGAAGGAGAAAAAGAAAAGCTAAAGGGGCTGTGGACAATGCTTTGTACTGTCTCATTAACAGAGGATAACCACATAGAGTAATAAATCAAAGCAGTGCATGCTTATTCATCGGTACCAAGCGTGTTATGCTGTCCCTTTTCCATTTTCTATGCCCCAGCTAACGGGGATGTCTGCAAAGCTAAATACATTGTTATGCTCATTGCTTCTTATCCTTTTAGTACAGGTGTTCATTCCATTTACATAAAAATAGTCTGCTACATTGCTAACTTAGCCATTGATTTCAGTTTATTATGCCCAAGTCACAGAAATTGAATGCCCACTAGTATGGGATGCATAAAGATGAGTTTTTGTACATTGCCACTGCTTTATGTGCTGAAAAAAATGTGATTTCCTCCATGTTTTAATTCAGTTGTACAAATAAAATGCTGCGGGTCGTGTTTCATAGAGGACCATCAGGTGGCAAATCAGCAAAACTTTCGGCAAAACTCTTCAAGATGACGGTGGTGATTTCTCTTGCTGCATGCACCCCATCTCAAAGTCACCACACACAACTAAGCCCAGTGGCCAGTTTGGGGTCAGGCTTAGGATAATGGTGTGACGAGAACCCAGGGGCATTGGCAGAACCATGCCAAGGGTTTAGCACTGGAACAGCGAGGCTTGCAATCAGGTTGAGATTGGGACCTAATGTCAGAGTTAGACTGAGCCCAGGCCTGGACCAGCAGGCCAGGTTGGAGCAGACCGAGAGAGTCAACTGGGGAACCTAGTATGGGAATATGAGGGGGTTTCTATTGGTCAGGAATGAGGTGCATTGGCAATGCCACAGGGAAGACTGGGGAAGGGATGGCCCGGCGTGCAGCAGGCCTGCACTGACAGAGCCGAGTGGGGTCTCAGAAGTGGCGTACCCCGAGAGAGCTAGGTGGGACAGCTGCTTGCACATCCCCTGCCTGTGCGGCAGTTAGGCCTCATTGGTGCTGTTAATCTCTGTCTCACCTGGGATTCACTGTACCTGGGGAGGGGGGGAGGGTTCTCTGCCATTTGCTTAACACAGATTTTTATAGAGCAGCATCTCAGTTTTGACAGTGATAGTCCTTGTCACTGTCAAACGGCTCAGGCTGTTGACAGGCTGTAAGTTTGCCAGTGGGTGGGTGACAAGTAATGTGTGCTAAACCCTGCTATTTATGGATCATTGGATGGGTACACTGTCTTCAACAACGACTCGGATAATGCAGTGGAGGGGATGCTTATAAATTGTGCTAAGCTGGGAGGGGTTGCGAGGACTTTAGAGGACAGGATTAGAATTTGATAGGACCGTAACAAACTGGGGATCTGATTGGAATTCAGCAAGATGAAATTCAGTAAAGACAAGGACAAAATACATCACTTAAGGACCTACCAAATGCACAACTACAGAAGGGGGGACTCACTGGCCCCGTGGTCATACTGCTGAAAAGGAGCTGGAGGTCATAATGGACCTCAAACTGAATATAAGTCAATAAGGTGATGATGTGCCAGAAAAGGCAAATATCCTGGGGCGTATCAGAGAAATGTTGTATGTAGGACACAGGACACTCTACTTGGTACTAGTGAGGCCTCAGTGGGCGTACAGACAAACGGGAGCGATTCCAGAGAGCAATACAAATGGTTTAGAAAACCTGATGTGTGTATGAGGAAAAGTTGAAAAACCTGGGTAGGTTTGGTCTCGAGAACAGAAGTCTGCAGGGTGGACTCGATAACAGTCTTCAGATATATTAAGGGCTGTCACATAGAGGGCTCGATTGATTGCTCTCTATGCCCACTGAAGGCAGGGCAAGGAGTAACGGGCTCGCACTGCAGCAAGGGAGATGTAGGTTAGATAGCAGGAAAAGCTTTTATAAGGCTCATGAAGCTCAGGGCCGGGTTTCCAAGGGAGTTTGTGAAACCTCCATCACTGCATCGCTGCCCAGCGCTGCCTCAGCCTTTAGAGCCACTCAGAGCATGCAGCATGGTGCTCCGGCGGTGATTTAAAGGGCCCGGAGCCAGCCACCGCTGCTGATGCAGTAGCAGTGGCGGCAGTGGCTGGGAGCCCCAGGCCTCTTGGAATTGCCGCTCCCCGGGGCAATTGCTCCCTTTGCACCCCTTGTCAGCAGGCCTGAACACTTGTCTGGGATGGGCCAGATATACGTGTGCAGGGGGCTAGACCTGAGAGCCTCCGGAGGTCCCTTGCAGCCCGACATGTCTATGAGTCTACGGCCAGATTGACACACAAATGCAGGCATTTCTTTAGGAAACTCTCCTGTTAATTTCTCTGGTTTGTTCTCTCGGTAATGACAAGGAAATCCATTTTGCTCTATGTGGCAGTATGGTACTGACCCTAGTTAACACTGAACCTGAGACTTTCACAGCTGCTTAGTGGTTCTGGGTGTGTAATTTCTGCTAGTTTTAATGGGAATTGGGTGCCCAAATACCTTTGTTATAGTCCTACTCACAAGTGCCAAATGGGACGGGGCCACAGCATGCTTGCTGGGTTTTCTACGAACATGACAGCAGACAGTACCTTCCACCAGTGGCACTTACCATCTAAAGGACACAAAGCGGACAAAGAATAGGGGAAGGGGCTATGACACACACACACACAGGAATATGTTGAGGAACTGGCAAATGAACATGGTGAAGCTATGGTAGTTACATGTGGTGCTGGTGGTTTTCACATGGAGAGTGAGAAGTAGCAGGACGTGGAAGATTAGTGAGAACAGAACACATCAATTGTTGGATTGGAAAAAGAAAAAAACCTGCAAAAAAATGAAGGTCAGATTTTAGGGGCCTAGATACCTAGGAAATCCCCTTAGGGTATGTCTACACTGCAAAGTTAATTCTAAATAACAGCCATTATTTCGAATTAACTTTAATAGCGTCTATACATGCAAACCGCTATTTCGAAATTAAATTGAAATAGCGAAGCACTTAATTTGAATTTGGTAAACCTCATTCTGTGAGGAGTAACGTCAAATTTGAAATTGCTATTTCGAATGAAGTGCTGTGCAGACACTTAATTCAAAATAGGGGGCCTCCAGCCCTTCCCAGGGAGCCCTGGTGGCCACTCTGGGCACAGCCAGGAAAGCTTACTCTCCTCTTCCCCAGCCCCGTAGCCATTAAAGGGGCAGACCCTAGCCACAGTGCCTGTGCCAGCTCTAAGCCTGCCAGCCCAGAACCAGCGGCGGGCACCCGCGCCC